TTTTCGTAAGCTCATGTCAACTATCCGCACACTTATTTTTTTCTTTTTCTCTTTTATCACAAATCCAAAGTCAAGATAAAACATTCTGAATTTGAAAATAGGCGATGAAGCTCATCTTTAACATTCAGTATGGTGAATTAAAACTTAAAACTTCTTTCCTTCGGTTCGATCTATGATATGCCTTGGCTTCCTCCTGTTATAATCGGTCCACGTATGAACTGTTACGTAACGGGGGCTTTAACCTCCCTCAGCTCGTCAGCACTTTAACGTAAGCTCACACTCCCACCCCTGAGTACGTCACATAATACTCGAACCTTTCGACCTGGAAAGTATAATGTTTCCCTCTCTCATCTGCTGAGAGTACTCTGTTAGAAATCTCGGTGTAAAATTCTTGTGAGCATTTTACTCTGGAGCCTATTTCGCTCCAAAAACCCGAGTAATGTGCATAAGNGGGGGGGGGGGGCGTAAGGGGGCCCGGCGGCCACCCCCGGAAAATTTTTGAAGCATCCAATCTGCAGTTTGAGTCAATTTCATCATGAATAATTACCGAATGTACACGACTTTCCTTCTTCTTTCCTATGCTACATATGTCCCTTCTTTTCTTTCTTCCTTCTCTTTTTCTTCCCCTTATTTTCGGGCGAAAGCGTAGGGGGGCGCCCCCCCAATGCAAGTATTATGAATAAGGAGGGGGACGTAATGGGGGTCCGGGGGCCTCCCCCACCCTGGTAAAAATTGGCGATACGAGCTGCGTTTCAAAATACCATAGGAGTTCTTACAGCCGACTAAAGAAGGCTAATGAAAATCATATAGCTGGCTGTAGAAAGCGGAGCAAATCATATAGCCGGGCTATACGAAGCTATAAAAAAGTATACAGTCGGGCTATAGTTCCTATCGCCGGGTTTTACACTTAATCGCCATTGGCTTTAAAAGGCTATAAGAAATTGTGTAGAAATTCGTGTGCTTTGGAAATCATTTAGTTTGATACGGAACTACCTTAATATTTACAAAACACACATTATATTTTCCTTTAAAACATATTTTTTTTTATCAATTAAAATGAGATGGTCCATACAGAGTGTGCAAACATTTCAAAATCATGAGTTGAAAAACGCTGACTCCGCGAGATTAAATAGTAGAGCCTAACACAAAGCTAAGCGGCGACGCATTGGCGCCTACAAACCTAACAGGGATACTTCACGCATTGCGCGGCGACGCACTGGCGCCTACAAACCTAACAGGGATACTTCACGCATTGCGCAATGCGTGAAGTATCCCTGTTAGGTTTGTAGGCGCCAATGCGCTCTCTGCCCGCCTGCCGCGCCGCAGCGTGCCACGGCGTCTGAAGCAACTATTTCACGCCAGAGGTATTGCACAGTATCATAAGAAATTAAAAGCGCTCCAACATATTAAGAATGACAGGCATCCTTCAAAAGTACGAAGCTTTCCTCGCAAAATAAAACAAGATACTACGATATAAAAAGAGAGCGGGAGTCCAAAAAATAACTAAGTCCCAGTATCCGTATTTAGTAACGTTTAGCATAAACTTTATCGTCTGGCTGTTGCTTAATCGCCATCGGCTGTAAAAAGCTATAAGAGATTGTACAGCCGGCTGCTGAAGCTATTGGAAATCTCACAGCCGGCTTTAGGTCTATAGTATTTTGGAACACACATTCTACTGCCTATTTTTACCGGGGCAGAAAATTTTTGAAGCATCTAATCTGCAATTTGAGTCAATTTCGTCATGAATTTTTCCAAATGTACGCTTCTTTCCTTCCTCTTTCCTATATTCCCTCTTCCCTCCCTCTTTCTTCTTTCTCGTATCCCTCCTCCTTTTAGGGGGGGGGAGGCGTGCATTCCCCCTTCTCCCCCCCCTGCGGGCCGATTATTGAAATTTATAGACAAAGCTATAGACAAAGAAGACATAGGGGGTATGGAGCGATCCTATTGGTTGAAATGTGTGGTTCTCATAGACTAAGGGAGAAAATGATGGACTAACTGTCAGGTTTCTCGTGGGTTGCCGTTAGTTACTCCATTACCTACCTCCTATGTCCATTGCCACCGCCCGCTTCCACCAATAGGATCCCTCCAAATCCCTTTTGTCGTCTTTGTCTATAGCTTTGTCTATCAGTTTCAATAATCGGCCCGCTGGATCCGCCAATGCTGGATACCAGTTTAGAGGTCACCGACGAGAGGTGTCGCTGTGAACGGTCGGATGCATCAGAGTTAATGAATAATTATCCAGAGCTCGGCTCGATGAAAATGCATTACGGCGAACGCTGCAATCGATGAGAATTAGAGGTTAAGCGCGCCATCAGCGGTGACCGTGGTGGCGCTGCGCTGCGCTCCGCCCGCGGCCTGCACGTAGCCGCGCCAACGTCTTGGCCCAAGCCGCGGAGTTCCCCGTTGGACGCGGTCTATTCTTAGCAGTCTCCAAGCCGCAGAATGTTCAGCTCGATCCAGTTAACGCGGAATATCGCCCATTTGTCGCCCCGGACCAAGGTGAGTCGAATATTGATTTCTCCAGTCAAATCCAATCGTGGCCTCCTCCCCCGCAACCCCGAGAGTCGGGTATCTCACCCCGCCGCGCTCATGCCCCACTGCCCTTCATGTGTACCGCCGTCCTGAGGAGAAACGCCGTATGAGCCTTCGGACGTTGCCATATCGACGCTGAAACTACCTGACTACGAATCTCGTTCGCGGTGTTTAAAATCTCCACTCTTATTTTATTTTTTTGAAGAAACACAAATCAATATCATTTCTTGAGATTTATACAGAGTTTTCTTGGCGTAAAGAGGGAAAAACACGGAGGTTTTCAAGCATTAACGTTTAGTAGTTCTCTATTTAAAAAATTAAGTTTGACAGGAAGTCTACGACGTCGCAAACCGAGATTCGTGGTCTGGTAGTTTCTCCATCGATATTCCCTTCAATAAAAAACTGATTTACCGGGAAAATTTTGAATATTTTTCCTCCAATTTTCCAGGCAATTTTTTTTTATGATCTAATCTAAAATATTTGAAAATCTCAAGAATAAATATGCATACAATTTTTCAAAAATTAATATTTTGTCGGTGGAAATTTGGCAACAGCAGATTGCTTATACGGCGTTCTTACTTAGGCAGTGTAATTGTGTAGTGCGCTCCGCGGTTATCAAATCACGCCCCGTCATAATTGTCCACATTTGCGTCAACGCGGGACTTTTCATTCTGCCGGTCATTTCAAGAACAAGTATTCGGGAAAACTTTACCATGCTGCCAAGATTGCGTAGAGTTCGCTTACCCGTCATGAGACGCGCGCATATTTTACAAAAACCTCCATGATCGTGATTACTGTGATGAAAATGTGAGTACAGTTTTGATTCTTTCTAAAAGAAACGAGCCACCTAACGAGAGGCAATTATTGCAGCAACGGCACAACACGAATATGTTAAGGAGATTTTAACGTTAGCAAAATCAGGTACCTAAATTAACCACCATGATAAAAAATTTCGTTAAAACCACTGCGCTATTTGCTGATTTTCATATTTTGTCGTTCCCACCACGAAGGAACGTAACTGAATTCCCATGTTGCCAAATTTCTCCTTTCAAATTGCATTTTTAACCGGAGAATCTTGGGCATTTCTAACTGGAACTTTCACGAATGCATCTTCCGTTACCATGCATATAAATCAGAAATATTTTTGACAAAAACTGTGCAGGCACACTCTCGTAAATTTTTTTATCGTTTTAGTCAATTTTGTAACCTTGGAATGGAGTTACGTTTCTTCGCGTGGGAAACGACGATTTATATGAAATAGTTGCACTATCGTAGCAACACTGAAAAGCATGCGTGCCTTTGCAGAGGCGCGTGCTACAAATGATACAGTTGGAGGCCAAGCGCGCAATTGTGATATAGCGTTGCAAAATGTCTAGATATCCTTTCACTTTTTCATTATAACAGATAGTTGCAATGCAACATTTTCTCTTGTACTCGTTAAGTCATCTTAATGAGGTTTGAAGCCCTCAATCCAACGTTTCGTGGCATTTCACCATTGCAAATTCGTTAAAAACATCGATCTTCTATAAGTAATTCACTGTTAGAATTTTGAGTCGATATTGTCTGAATCCGTACTTTCATCATTTCATCACATATAGACAGCGAAACTCCCAACTCACGTATCTCGTTAGCGGTGATTAAAAAACTATGATCCCATTTTATTTTTTTGAAGGAGAATAAATCAGCACCATTCATTGAAGTTTTCACAGAATTTCCTTGCAGTTTTGAATTGCAGCAATTGAAGTTTGCACAGAAAATAAAAATCACGGAAACTTCAAAGAGTCGACTTTGAGTAGTTTTCCATTTAAAACATAAACTATAACAGGAAGTCTTCAACGTTGCAAACCGAGATACGTGGTTTAGGAGTATTTCACCCCGTCGATATATTTTGGAAATTGCAGGAATCGGAGAATCGATATAATTTTCACTTCACATTTTTTGTTTTTGTTTTTTTTCTTTCTGCTCTGCTGAGGGGTGGCTTAGACTGATTTTTCTTCATATACCTATAAAAATTTGTTTACAATGTTTTCTAATAAATGTCGCATCTCAAATCTTGCTTTAAGTAATTTAATTATCCATGTTTTTCTCAGAAAAATGGGCGATTACAACTGCAGAAATTCTTACAAAGCCATGGATTCGCTTCAGAGGCATCCTTCGAGACCAAAGTAAGTATAATGATATAATTACTTCAATCTCAATTTCAAATATATCGAAGAATCGTATTAGATTTTACGATCAGGGCTGAATTTATGCTCACGCAAAGCAAATTGCAGCACAAGCCTTTAGAAGGCGTTATCGAATTTAGGGCCCAAAAAAAGAAAGTAGGTAGGATATGGAGGAATCTGTAATACGACGGTGCAAAAGGAAGCTGAACGGTTTAAGAGTTATCCCTCCTTCATTAACTTTCAGAAAAATACGGATTACATTTTAATCGTTTGAAAAGAGAGAGGGAAAGATGCAAATAGCAATGCGAGGCGCTAATTTCCCCGCACCCCCTCCTTCGAGTCTGCCTGAAATACTCGTATTAGCAGTAATAATACAATCGGAATAAGTTATAACGAAAAACTACGATGATGCTGTATCTCTTGGAGTAACAATAATATATATTTGGATTTTTCCTCCTTTCTTTTTTTCACTCCATCTGAAGTATTAATCGATTTTCCTCTTATAAGATTGCTGATTATCTTGGTTGAGGGTTCATGGGAGGAAAGCAAAAGACACGGAAGAAAAGAGTAGGGAAATGTACAAAAATCATTTCCCTAGGGCTCCAAACAATCTACGGCGAGCCGTACATCACAGAGTGTACACTGGAAAAAAACACATTGGATCTAGAATCCAGACTCTTAAAAACATCGACAAGAAAAAATACTCTTGATTCAATCGGATTTTTGCGTAAATAAAGAACCAAGCCTCTAAATTTGAGCGGATTTCCTTTTGATTTAAGCTTAAAACTGATTGAGTTAAGAGTATTTTTTCTTGTCAATGTTTTCAAGAGTCTAGACTCTAGATCCAATGTGTTTTTTTCCCAGAATATGGAGTTTCTATGGATCGTTATTAAAATTACAAAAAAAAAAAAGTTGAGCCTGAATTTCTATCTAATCTGATAGTCACTCGGCTACGTTACCAGTATCCAATGAAAATACATCAATTTCATTTCAGTGAGGAAGAGGAGAGTTCCTCTCGTTTTGACCATTTTGGAAAATACGCAACGCCCACAAGAAAGAGTAAAACTGAATATCAGACGACTAGCACAATTTCTTGAGTGCATAATTTCATAACCGATTAGCTATCAGCAACAGTGACGTCATGTACTTACAATATGCAAGGCACTCTCATCTTCGGCAGATTCAAGTTTGACAAGACTCATCTCTATGCAGATTGTACATGACACAATCGTAGCTGATCATCAACTTGTGCATTTAAAATGATGCGCCTAATTGTTTTTGTGCATTTCTGCAATTTTGTTTCTAGCCTTACAAACTACACAAACTGGAATCGGGCCCGTCTACGCAAGTGTCGGTGACCAAGGAAGATGCTCTAGTCATGTACAGACAAATGAACACCATCAGGCGCATTGAGACTGCTGCTGGAAATTTGTACAAGGAGAAAATCGTTCGGGGATTTTGCCACCTTTACTCCGGTCAGGTACGTTTTCACAACATCAAAATATTTAAGTTATTTAACATGTATAATATAATGTACATATAATTAATGTGTAAAAAAAGGGTGTAAAGGCTTCCTTGCTAACTTAAGTGACATCTCCTCTAGGCATGACTCAGTACTCAGCCTTTCTTTGAAAACTCGAAAGTTTATTAATTAGAAATTCTGAAATTGATTAAAATGATACCTTTCGTAAAAAAAACTGCGTTTGTAGATTCTCCTTCGTCCAAAAGGATAGGCAACGGCAACTCTTGCTCCGGTTTGTAAAAAAAATGGTAATGATTCAGTCATTGACATATGGACCACAAATGCAGGTTTTTTGTAAAATATATATTAATATCCAAAGTGCAAAACCACGTATATCGATTGCGGCGTTTCAAAATGTTCGCTCCTATTTTATTTTTTCTAAGAGCGATAGGCCAAATTCATGGCTAGAAATTTTTACAGAATATTCTGCTTACATCTGACTCCTGAAATCTTGCAGAAATTTCATGAACTAGTTTTCCAGGGAAACAATAAAGTAAGACAGGAAGTCTGCAGAGTCGCAACCTGGTCGGAAATGGTGTGGACCGCGGTAGGTCCAGCACAGAGATATTACGTATTTTCAACGAAAGCGCGCACTGCGTTTGGCGTTATGCGTGAAGTATTCCTGCACTCTTGTAGGCGCTAATATGCTCGTCGCGCCGACCTGCCGCCCAGCGACCGCACTGTGTTAAGCGTAACGCGTGAAGTATTCCTGCACTCGTGTAGGCGCTAATATGTTCGTCGCGCCGACCTGCCGGCCGCCCAGCGACCGCACTGTGTTAGGCGCAATGTGTGAAGTATTCCTGCACTCTTGTAGGCGCTAATATGCTCGTCGCGCCGACCTGCCGCCCAGCGACCGCACTGTGTTAAGCGTAATGCAATGTATGCAATGTATTCCTGCAATCGTGTAGGCGCTGAAACGTGTGTTGGCCAGCCGGTGACCGCACAAGGAAGGGACTTTTGGGTCACCTTGTGTCGTTGCGCGTCGTAAACGGAGATACGTGGATCGCACTTGTCCGTCGATATCTGAACTAATTTTTAGGGATATTTGATAAAAGTCAGTTTGATTCCCACAAAAAAGAGAGGGAAATTCAGTAGCGTGGCGTGAATTGCGATGTATCGATTGTTATGCCATTTAAACTTATGGTAAAGAATCGATTATTAAGGTGTTCGCTACGAACACCCTGTTTATCGATCCTTTTCCATAGGTTTAAATGGCATAACAATCGATGTATCGCAATTCACGCCACGCCATTGAAGGAATTTGATGCATAACAAAGTGAGACTAATGCCATTAGATGACTTGTAGAGTAAATTACTAATTTTGTTCCTTTCAAAACATTAACCCCCCCTCCTCCAAAATTACTTACAGTGAAATATTTAATTATGCATCAATGCAATTGTCAACGAGAATTCGTGGATAATTTTGAATGTACTAGCATGGAAACGAGAGAGAAAGAATAGGAAGGTTTGTACTTTCGTCAATCCAGTGTACTGACCTGATTATTGAACTTTGCAGGAAGCCTGCGCTGTAGGGATGAGATCAGCTATGCGGAAACAGGACTCAATAATCTCAGCTTACCGTGTCCATGGCTGGACCTACCTGATGGGAGTTCCTGTTTTAGGGGTTCTCGCTGAACTGACCGGGAGGAAGTCCGGCTGCGCCCGCGGCAAGGGAGGATCCATGCACATGTATTGCAAGAATTTCTACGGAGGCAATGGCATCGTTGGCGCTCAAGTATGTGTTCTAGTCTGTGTTGGAATGGTTCAATGATCAACGGTCAATGTCCTCTCGTGCCTCATTTTTCTTAGTGGACAACGAATCAATATCATTCCTTGGAATTTACGCGGCATATCCTTCACACAGAGAGGGAAAATCACGCTTCGAGAAAAAGATATGGTTGAAATTACCATATTATCGGTGTGTAAAGCCCAAAATGATGCACCGCTGATTGAGAAATATTTGGACCGCGTTCAGCAGAAAGGAACCAAGCTACATCAGTCATCGCCAAATTTAATTGAGCAATTTAATTTTTTACAAGGGAACTTTTCTGCGGATTTTTTTAAAATTTTAAGGAATTTGATTTCTACTGTGCAGAAAATTTACTGAAATTTGCAAATAAATCCGCACAACCGTTTTCATGTCAGAAATTAAATTGCCCGATTAAGTTTGGCAATAGCTTATGCCCCTTGGTTTCTTTTTGCTTGAATTAATAGTAGTCATTATAATAATAATAATGGTATTTTTATCATTAAGTGATAATTTTACCCTTGAAGATGGTGATTTTACCATTGCCTAGTTTGTAAAATCATCATTTAGTGGTGGGAGTACCACTATTATTGGATACGGCTATCATGAATCAAGAACACCTGGAACACCTTGGAACATCTTATATGATTATTTCAACCATAGTTTTTTGTCAGCGTGGAAGTTTTCAAATGACGACCGTGACTACGTTTTCTACTAGAACTGTGAAATATGCATATGAAACAGTACGAATAATAAGTATATGGACATGATACATATAGTAAATGAATATGATTTTTTGATAGAAAGTCTACAGCCCTGCAAAACGAGGTACTCGGTTTGAGAATTTTACCAAAAATCAGTTTGAAAAATTTTATCTGAACGATACGTTTGTCGTTTAGTGTGAGATCTAATGATAGATTAGTTTACAATATTCCAAGAAGTTTGAATTTTTGTTCAAAAGATGTAAAAAAGAAAACTTTGTTTCAAGAGTTGCCGCGCGGCGACGTTCAATCGGGACTTCGGCGCGCCTTGCTCCATATTGTGTAGCGTTCTTGAAGTTCGTGAAGAGGAAATGTCGGAGCGCCTTCACTTTTTGTACGTGCAATACGCATATCCACGGAACACTAATCGTTGCATCTTGCCAGGGGTTAACATCAACGGCGCGTCTAATCGGCGCGTCTGTTTACTTTTGAGGAATGTTATGAAAATCCTCCTTGAAATTTTCAAATACTTAAGTGAAAATTGGAGTTAAAACCATCCGAAAATTGAAAACAAAGAATTTCCAAAGAAGCAAAGTATTTCAAGAGTTTCCAAAAGAACCATAGTTTGTCACAGAGAATGGGGTAAAGTCGGACACGAAATTTTGGACCGAAGCTACTCATTTTGGGATTTATTTCGTCAGATTCTGAAGTTGAAGGGGTGCACCTGTAATAAAATATTCGATACAACCAATGGAACCGCTTTTAAAACCTCAACGTTCCTCCGAAGCAAAGTAGATCAGTCTTTGATGTAAGCAAAAATGACTGAAAAGTTTAAAAAACAAAAATCTCTGGTGCCGTGATGCTTGAGTGTTCATCATCTTTTCTTAACAGGGACCTCTCGGAACGGGAGTCGCTTTCGCATCGCAGTACAAAGAGGAGGGAGGAGTATGCTTCACTCTCTATGGCGACGGAGCGGCGAATCAGGGACAGCTTTTCGAGGCCTACAACATCGCCAAATTGATGAACATTCCTGTTATTTACGTTTGCGAGAACAACGGCTACGGAATGGGCACCAGTGCTGAAAGGTCCTCCGCCAGCACCAACTACTACACCCGTGGTGATTATATCCCCGGCATATGGGTGAGGATCAATTTTACTTATCAAGTTACCAGATTTACCAGATTTGCTGAATAACTCGCTGAATCTAATCAACCATTAACAGAGTGAATCATTATCATCATCATCATCATCTAAAAGCATTGTACATGCCTTATCTCGTCGCTCCTTTGGCGTAAGGGTGTATCTAGATTTCCACGTGAGCCTTGCTGCCCATAAAACTCTATGCTTTGTGGGGCTCATGTAGAAATAGAGCTATACCCTTACGTCAGGGGATCGACGATTTGTTTGCCCCTGAGATCCCGAGCAGTAATATTTTGATGGTTACAGCCGATGTATGATTTATAAAAAAATTGAATCCATCGGTAAAATCAGCAGTTATAAAGAAAATAATTATATAATACAAACAACAGAGAAAAATTTAGTGTTTCAAAGAGTGCAAACTATCATGAATACGATAAACAACGAACCAACAAATTTGTTTTTCGTTAACCAAAATAAGTTTTTTTAGAACTGCAATTTGACCATAATTATTGTGCCTCCATTGCAAGGTTTCAAAATCTTTGATCGTTTTCTTTCTTTTTTTAACAAAGACAATTGGTAAAAATATCCATGAATTTGAGTGTGAATATTCTTGAATGAGTGAGGAATATTCACAGAAAAAGAGGGAAACCTCGTTTTAATCGGCACAGAAACACAGTAGCTTCATCATTATTTTGTCGTGTCCCTGTTTTCAGGTTTTTATTCTCTTGAATGAAGGAACTAAATATTTCTCCAAAATGTGTTATTTTAAAAAGAAAAAAAGAGTAAAATGGTGACACTGGGAATATGATGATTTCGGCAAACGTGCCATAGGCGGATCCAGGGGAGCGTAGGAGGGCGCAGGGGGCGTGCGCCTTCCCGTTCGCCCGAAAAAAAAAAGAAAAGATGCTTAAATTTTGGTAATTATTCATGATGAAATTGACTCAAACTCTAGGGTTTGAGTCAATTTCAAGATTTCTCCATAGGTTCAAAAATTTTCTGGAGGAGGGCCCAGACCCCACTTCCCCCTTTCTCCTGTTCGTGGTCTGGATCCCACTATGAAACGTACATGATAATGATCCCTTCCGACTTGCCCTCAGGTTGACGGTATGGACGTTCTAGCAGTTCGAGAAGCAGCAAAATTCGCCATTGATTATGCTACCAGCGGGAAAGGACCACTCATCTTGGAAACGGTAACATATCGGTATTCTGGACACTCCATGTCCGACCCCGGAACCAGCTACCGAACCCGAGATGAGGTCCAGGTTGTTCGTCAGACCAGGGACCCCATCACATCTTTTAAGGAAAAGATTATCAACACAGAGCTAGCTACCCCCGATGAGCTTAAGGTCAGTCAATTTTTTTTACTCTCGGAATATCTGAACCACCTTATGGATCGTGTTCGATAGTGGTTTGATGTATCGTTTGATTCAAAGCAGTAGGACATAACCATCAAACAAAAATGTTAGGATTCAAGTCGGAAAAACTGAAAATGAGAAACTTCCTTACAAGTTTACTTTCCATTACCATTTGGTACTCGAAAGAATTAAAAAATCAATCACAATGGACCCGTTCCCTCACCTTTTTAAATTGACTCTTGAGACTGTGTTTACATGTTGTTAACCAATCGGTATCGATACAATCTTACCTGTTTGATGTATCGAATACGATTTATAAACAAATCAGAGAATATGATCTGGAACATATACTTATTTTTCCTCTTACCCTCTGGATTTTTTTTTCACTTTTTCATAGTTTTTAACTTTCCGTCAATGCCACTCGGTGATTATATTAAAGGTGTTGAAATCAAACAGTAGTAGTAGTATACGTAAAGGATTTATCAGGCTCCAAAGCATCTAAAGCAATAAGCATCAGTACCCCAGAACTGCTTGCTTTATCACAATTTTGCCATAATTCTATTACATTTCGGAAAAAGGAGCCGGATATTTCCAGTTTATTTCAGAAATAACATCTGCACCATTTGCCTTGTATAAATAGAAGCGTTTATTGACGAGTCAGAGATAAAAGTTCCATATTGAGAAATCTCGTAAAATTAGGTTTAATTAGAGTTTATTTTAATGATCTTATTGTTACTTTGTGTTTCAATGCTCAAATTCTTCCTCTGGTACCTATGTGAGTTCAAGAATCAACCACTGACTGCCGCACTAGGAGAGAACGTAGTGTGAGTCTTCAGGCGTTGCCAAATTTCCTATAATAAAATACGAATTTTTAGGGGAATTTGTGCATATTTTTCTTTCAATTTTTTAAGGATTTAATTCGCAATTTTATGTAAAGTATCTGAAACTTTCCGTTGAAGATACTTGTAAATTTCCTTGAAATAAATGTTTTATCACAAAAAATCTGGCAACCTTCAAATGCCCATACGGCGTTATCCTTAGCACGACAGCACAGAGCATGATCGACCTCCATTCTGTATCAATCCCGGGCGTTTTGTAAGATGTGCTGAACACCACTATTCGCACTAGATTAACTACCAAGCCAAATTGCTTAGTTGATAAATCAGCTAACGAATTGAATTGATCAGTTAATGAATCAGGCGACAAATAGGCCCTCGCTCTACTCTGAATTTTGATTTCCAGGCAATCGACGCAGAGATCAAGAAAGAAGTGGATGCTGCAAACAAGACTGCAAAGGAGGACACTGAAATTACAATGGAGGAAATTGCCGGGGACGTATATTCCAACACATTAGAACCCAAAATCAGGAACATAACTCCATGGAATCCCTTGACTCACAAGCGAGTCGGTCCAGCCCTTAACTTGAAATGAGAGCCAGTTATACTGATGAGCTTTACTTCTCAAGCTTGAACAAGATACTCGTTGGATGGTGAAGTTTGAACCAAACTAGCTGATTAGCTCCAACACGAACGAAATAAAACCAAGAATATTGTGGTCGTCATATCATTACAAAGGCTAAATGTGTGATTAATGAGAGCGAGCAAAATTGAACCACTTATTTATAATTCTTTATTTATAATTTTTAGCATAAACTAAGTACCTGAATCTGATTTTATCAATAGTATTTTAACATTGTATAAGTCATTTTGAAGTAGAGAATGTAAGGGTTAATTTTTTATTTCATATGCATTCCCACCGCAAAAATTTAATCGAAAAAAAAAGAGGAATTGGATTGGTTCTAGGTGCCTACGTCGTTAGCCATTTGTTGCCATAGAATTCTTAAGGGAAGTTTATCCTTACAATTGTAATCAGAAGACGTATTTTTAGCAGAAAATTTCATACAATATTTATGAACAGGGTAAAGCTCAGTATAGAATGACTGACTAGCCACTTATTTCATGTCAACTGCGTGGGAAGGAGATATGAACGGAAATGGTTTTGACGATCATGTTTTATCCTTTCCAAGAGGTGTATAATTTGTTGTCATTTGAAACCCACCGAGGTCACAGCCATAGCCTTATTATTAAATAAAATATGTAAATAAACTGACCAAGAATTGTTGAATCATATTTCTCTCTCAATCGTTTATTCTTTAATCATCTATTCATCAGTCTCGTTACCTTCTCATAATTTTCCGTGCGATTTTCACCTAATAAATTGGGGAACCGCAGTCCCATGTAACATTTTTCAACGGAAAAATCGAAATATTTTGAAATTAAGTTGCGAATCTTTTACGATTTTTTCTCTACAAAATCGCGTTTGATGAAATCAAAAATTTGATTTTAATTTATGACGATTTTTTGTTCGATAGTAATGCGATAAATCGCTGTCGACAAAATCGCGATACATTCTCCGATTAATTCGCAACTTATCGCGATTACTGCTACTTGGGAGAAAGTCGTTTTTACTGATTTCAAGTTCTTCCAAACAAGGAAAAAGTATGTTTCGAATAGTATGTATTGAATACCAGGCAGGTACAGTCTTTTGTCCCAGAAATATTTGAAATTTTAGGAATTTAAGAACCTAAATTTCCCTTTTCAAAACTCTTTGGAAACAAAAATGATGATAAAGAAAATGAAAACTATTGGCTTGACAAAAGAAGCAGTAAACTAAAAACATTAAACTTTAAAAGAGTGAAATGATTTTTTTCTCAGCACAACCAGGAAATTTCCACCCAGGATCGGTAAATTCAAGAAATTTCAATTTGTATCAGCTTTCTTCCACGCAGGCTCCTTCAGAGAGAGGAACAGAATCGGAACTGGCAGTGAGAACCGTTAACTTTTCGCTACATTTTTTTCTTCAAATGTTCTTCTTCCTCACAATCAGACACCGTGTCATCTTCCTCCTGAAAAATAAACCGATCACAGAGTCGTCAGTATGATAATTCTTGGTTCCCTCACGACAGTACGTAACTACATTTAAATGTCACCAAATTTTCTCTACGAAATTGCACATTTACGAAGAGAATTTTGGGCATTTCTAATTGAAAATTTCACAGATTTTGCACAGGTATATTCTTGTAACAAAATTGCAAAGGTATATTCTTGTAAAGAAGTGAATCTGTTTGAGTTAATTTTGCACCCTTGGAATGGAGTTGATGTTCCTTCGTCCGGAAAACGACGAATTACCGCACGAAATAAAATTTGGCAGCCGCGCCTACACATATTCGTCAAAAAAACTTACGAAAATTGGGGGAAAAAAGAGAAAAATTAGTGCAAAATAGCAACAGCAACCGAAGCACATGTAGAATTGTTGATGGAAGTGCCGATGGGCCCAAATGTGTTTGGAAAGAACTTTTTAAAATGCAGATCCTCAAAAGTTCAATTAACAGTCAAGTGTCGTTAATTCTACATAGTGACTTTTCATAGAAAAGAGAGGTATCAATAAGGGACATTTTTGAGCCCACCCTGAATTTCCTCAACCCTCCGATTTTTGTTCTCTGAGGGTCTATATTCTTCGGAATGCATCATGATTTGGTAATTTTTGGCGAACTTTTTTCGGGTCCAATGTCGGCCTACACAATTACTACACATGGGTTGGGAGGCCGCTTTTGGCGAAAAACGCGAGTTTTACGGGTTTGCCGTAGAATGCCGGAAAATTTGCATTTTTCGCCAAAATCGGCCCTCAAATCCATGCTTAGGCCAGTATTTTACTGAAGAAGAGACCGAAAATGACTAAATCATGATGATTTCTTTAATAAATAGATCTTAAATGAGCAAAAAATTGTAGGGTTGAGGAAATTCAGCTAGGGTGGCTCAAAAACGGCCCTTATCGATAATTCTCCATCAAGGAAATTAATTCCGCTTACCTTCAAATAAATTAATGGGTGAATAAATATTCAGTTTTTCTCTTCTTTTAAAATGTATTGGTGGGTGTCAATGACCATTGAGAAGAGAAGGCTACGAGGAGGGGAGGTTCTTGTGAGCCACCAATCAAGTAGTTCAAAAACCTTATACTTTACTCTCACGTTCGTTGTGTGGAACAAGGTGACTGTGATTTAATTAGTAGGAGGATAAATTAAACGCAAACAGAGCTGAATAGAACTTACAATTCCGAAAGCAAGATTCAAGTACATGACTCGCAAGATCAGGTAAGTCCAGTAAATGTGAAGGAGGCACAACGCCCAGCAGCAGAGCAAAAGGACGTGAGTAGCCGTGAATTGGAGAGAACTGGAAAGAAGCAAATCGTTGTAGGTGAACGTACACATAAAAAAAGAGAAAAATTCACGTCAAGCTTTCAATTTTCATGAGCTTTTGGTATGGTTTTGGAAGTCTTTCAGAAAGGAGATCCAATTAATGCGATTTATAAGCATTCGTGCTTGACTTTCTAATGCTACATTTGTTGGAATGATATACATCGAGGGTGAAAATCCCAAACCATGTATCTCAGTTTGTGACTTTAAAAACTTTCTCTCACATATTACTGTTTAAAATGAAAACTACTCGACGTCAATTCTTGAAAACTTCCTTGATTTTTCTTCCTGGTAAGGAAAATATTCTGTGAAAACTTCGAGGAATGATCTAGATTGTTGTCTTTCAATAAATAAAATGAAAGCTGAAATTTTAAAACTTTGCAAGCGAGATACGCACGGTTTTGGAGTTTCACTGTCAACATGAGTCTTGAAGTTAGTACATACAGGCCTAGCGTTATTAGTATCGTAGTCGTAGAAAGGAAGGGGGANCGATGAAAATGCATTACGGCGAACGCTGCAATCGATGAGAATTAGAGGTTAAGCGCGCCATCAGCGGTGACCGTGGTGGCGCTGCGCTGCGCTCCGCCCGCGGCCTGCACGTAGCCGCGCCAACGTCTTGGCCCAAGCCGCGGAGTTTCCCGTTGGACGCCGTCTATTCTTAGCAGTCTCCAAGCCGCAGAATGTTCAGCTCGATCCAGTTAACGCGGAATATCGCCCATTTGTCGCCCCGGACCAAGGTGAGTCGAATATTGATTTCTCCAGTCAAATCCAATCGTGGCCTCCTCCCCCGCAACCCCGAGAGTCGGGTATCTCACCCCGCCGCGCTCATGCCCCACTGCCCTTCATATGTACCGCCGTCATAACGAGAAACGCCGTATGAGCCTTCGGACGTTGCCATATCGACGCTGAAACTGCCTGACTACGAATCTCGTTCGCGGTGTTTAAAATCTCCACTCTTATTTTATTTTTTTGAAGAAACACAAATCAATATCATTTCTTGAGATTTATACAGAGTTTTCTTAGCGTAAAGAGGGAAAAACACGGAGGTTTTCAGGAATTAACGTTTAATAGTTCTCTATTTAAAAAATTAAGTTTGACAGGAAGTCTACGACGTTTAAACTCAAGATACGTGGTCTGGTAGTTTCATCGACGATTTTCCCTTCAATAAAGAACTAACTTACCGGGAAAATTCTAAATATTTTTCCTCCGATTTTTCAGGCAATTTTTTTACGATGTAATCTAAAATATCTGAAAATCTCGAGAAAAGATATTCACAACTTTTCTCAAAAATAAATATTTTGTCGGAGGAAATTTGGCAACAGCAGATTGCTGATACGGCGTTCTTACTTAGCCAGTGTAATTGTGTAGTGCGCTCCGCGGTTATCAAATCACGCCCCGTCATAATTGTCCACATTTGCGTCAACGCGGGACTTTTCATTCTGCCGGTCATTTCAAGAACAAGTATTCGGGAAAACTTTACAATGCTGCCAAGATTGCGTAGAGTTCGCTTACTCGTCATGAGACGCGCGCATATTTTACAAAAACCTCCATGATCGTGATTACTGTGATGAAAATGTGAGTACAGTTTTGATTCTTTCTAAAAGAAACGAGCCACCTAACGAGAGGCAATTATTGCAGCAACGGCACAACACGAATATGTTAAGGAGATTTTAACGTTAGCAAAATCAGGTACCTAAATTAACCACCATGATAAAAAATTTCGTTAAAACCACTGCGCTATATGCTGATTTTCATATTTTGTCGTTCCAACCACGGAGGAACGTAACTGAATTCCCATGTTGCCAAATTTCTCCTTTCAAATTGCATTTTTAACCGGAGAATCTTGGGCATTTCTAACTGGAACTTTCACGAATGCATCTTCCGTTACCATGCATATAAATCAGAAATATTTTTGACAAAAACTGTGCAGGCACACTCTCGTAAATTTTTTTATCGTTTTAGTCAATTTTGTAACCTTGGAATGGAGTTACGTTTCTTCGCGTGGGAAACGACGATTTATATGAAATAGTTGCACTATCGTAGCAACACTGAAAAGCATGCGTGCCTTTGCAGAGGCGCGTTCTACAAATGATACAGTCGGAGGCCAAGCGCGCAATTGTGATATAGCGTTGCAAAATGTCTAGATATCCTTGCATTTCTTCATTATAACAGATGGTTGCAATGCAACATTTTCTCTTATACTCGTTAAGTCATCTTAATGAGGTTTGAAGCCCTCAATCCAACGTTTCGTGGCATTTCACCATTGCAAATTCGTTAAAAACATCCTCTATAAGTAATTCACTGTTAGAATTTTGAGTCGATGCTGTCTGAATCCGTACTTTCATCATTATATCACATATCGACAGCGAAACTCCCAACTCACGTATCTCGTTTGCAACAATTAAAAATCCATGATAACTTTTTATTTTTAGAAGGAGAATAAATCAGCATCATTCATTGAAGTTTTCACAGAATTTCCTTTGCACAGAAAATAAAAAGCGCGGAAACGTCAAAGAGTCGACTTTGAGTAGTTTTCCACTTAAAAAATAAACTGTAACAGGAAGTCTTCAACGTTGCAAACCGAGGTACGTGGTTTGGGAGTATTTCACCCCGTCGATATATTTTGGCGCAATTACAGGAATCGGAGAATCGTTATAATTTTCACTTCACATTTTTTGTTTTTGTTTTTTTCTTTCTGCTCTGCTGAGGGGTAGTTTAGACTGATTTTTCTTCATGTACCTAGACATTGTTTTACAACGTTTTCTAATAAATTTCGCATCTCAAATCTTTCTCTAAGTAATTTAATTATCAATTTATTTCTCAGAAAAATGGGCGATTACAACTGCAGAAATTCTTACAAAGCCACGGATTCGCTTCAGAGGCATCCTTCGAGACCAAAGTACGTATAATGATATAATTACTTCAATCTCCATTTCAAATATATCGAAGAATCGTGTTAGATTTTACGATCAGGGCTGAATTTATGCTCACGCAAAGAAAATCGCAGCACAAGCCTTTAGAAGGCGTTTTCGAATTTAGGGCCCGAAAAAAGAAAATAGGATATGGAGGAATCTGTAATACGACGGTGCAAAAGGAAGCTGAACGGTTTAAGAAAGTATCCCTCCTTCATTAACTTTTAGAGAAATACGGATTACATTTTAATCGTTTGAAAAGAGAGAGGGAAAGATGCAAATAGCAATGCAAGGTGCTAATTTCACCGCAACCCCTCCTTCGAGTCTGCCTAAAATACTCGTATTAGCAGTAATAATACGATTGAAATAAGTTATAACGAAAAACTACGACGATGCTGTATCTCTTGGAGTAACAATAATATATATTTGAATTTTTCCTCCTTTCTTTTTTCCACTCGATCTGAAGTATTGATCGATTTTCCTCTTATAAGATTGCTGATTATCTTGGTTGAGGGTTCATGGGAGGAAAGCAAGAGACACGGAGGAAAAGAGTAGGGAAATGTACAAAAATCATTTCCCTAGGGCTCTAAATACAATCCACGGCGAGCCGTGCATCACAGAGTGTATGGAGTTTCTATGGATCGTTATTAAAATTACAAAAAAAAATAAATAAATAAATAATAATTGAGCCTGAATATCTATCTAATCCGATCGTCACTCGGCCACGTTACCAGTATCCGATCAAAATACCTCAATTTCATTTTTAGTGAGGAAGAGGAGAGTTCCTCTCGTTTTGACCATTTTGGAAAATACGCAACGTCCACAAGAAAGAGTAAAACTGAATATCAGACGACTAGCACAATTTCTTGAGTGCATAATTTCATAACCGATTAGCTATCAGGAAAAGTGACGTCATGTACTTACAATATGCAGGGCAATCTCATCTTCGGCGGATTCAACTTTGACAAGACTCATCTTTATGCAGATTGTGCATGACATAATCTATCGTAGCTGATCATCAACTCGTGCATTTCAAATGATGCGCCTAATTGTTTTTGTGCATTTCTGCAATTTTGTTTCTAGCCTTACAAACTACACAAACTGGAATCGGGTCCGTCTACGCACGTGTCGGTGACCAAGGAAGATGCTCTAGTCATGTATAGACAAATGAACACCATCAGGCGCATTGAGACTGCCGCTGGAAATTTGTACAAGGAGAAAATCGTCCGCGGATTTTGCCACCTTTACTCCGGTCAGGTACGTTTCCACAACATCAAAATATTTGAGTTACATTACATATATAATATCATGTACATATGTATAATTAATGTGTAAAAAAAAGGCTGTAAAGGCTTCCATGCTAACTTAAGTGACATCTCCTCTGGGTATGACGCAGTACTCAGCCTTTCTTTGAAAACTCGAAAGTTTATTAATTAGAAATTCTGAAATTGATTAAAGTGATACCTTTCGTAAAAAACTGTGTTTGTAGATTCTCCTTCGTCTAAAAGGATAGGCAACGGCAACACTTGCTCCGGATTGTTAAAAAAATGGTAATGATTCAGTCATTGACATTTGGACCACAAATGCAGGTTTTTTGTAAAATGGATATCAATGTCCAAAGTGTAACACCACGTATATCGATTGCGGCGTTTCAAAATGTTCGCTCCTATTTTATTTTTTCTAAGAGCGAAAGGCCAAATTCATGGCTAGAAATTTTTACAGAATATTCTGCTTACATCTGACTCCTGAAATCTTGCAGAAATTTCATGAACTAGTTTTCCAGGGAAACAATAAAGTAAGACAGGAAGTCTGCAGAGCCGCAACCTGGTCGGAAATGGTGTGGACCGCGGTAGGTCCAGCAAAGAGATGTTACGTATTTTCAACGAAAGCGCGCACTGCGTTTGGCGTAATGCGTGAAGTATTCCTGCACTATTGTAGGCGCTAATATGCTCGTCGCGCCGACTTGCCGCCCAGCGACCGCACTGTATTAGGCGCAATGTGTGAAGTATTCCTGCACTCTTGTAGGCGCTAAAACATGTTTTGGCCAAGCGGTGACCGCACAAGGAAG